GCACAGGGATGGTGGGAACCCCTCATAATGGGCACAGCAGGTGTACAGACCCAGGAACTCGGAAGTCTTCAGAATTGCGCTCAAATCGTACGTTAAAACGCTGACATTCATTCGATGCGATTTCAATTTGCAGATCACACCGCTATGACTGGGCAGACATCGCACTCCTGCAAGGCGGGACACACCCGTCGGGAGATTTCTAAAACAGAACAAATACTGCGATCTGATTGGCTGCTAATATGGACTCCGCCCTTTATCTATGTTTCCAGCACTCGCTGTCCCTGCTAGAGCCGGCCATACGCGGGACGAATTCCGAAAGAATTTTCTTCCGAAAATCTTTTCCAAGAACGTTCGTTCAAATTTCGCACCATTAGCGGGCGATTTTCGAGCGACCGTCAAATTTGAGTGGTTGGAGTATTTTTTGAAAAACAAATCCATGATGGGAGAACCGTGCGAGAAACGTCATCGAAAAAATAAATGAGCCGCAACCTGGAACGAAAAAGAAAATTCTCGGCCGCGAAAATTCTTTTCTGTAGCAACACGAGGGGGAATGATCGGCTCGGTGGGTCAAATCGCAAAATCAATGGTGGCCGCCGTCAGGTTACAACACACGAATGTTCCAATATGAAAGGAAATTTGTTTAGAATTCGACCCGTTTATACTGCAGACCAGCATTAAGGAAAATGTAACCCCCAGACTGGTGCCGGGTCACAGGACATGCTTTGCTGCCGCTCTTTCTGCTTAACCCCTTCCAGTCCGGATGCTGCCCCCCCCCCCCCTTCCTTCCGGACCCTTCCCCCCCCCCCCTTCCAGTCCGGACCCTTCTCCCCCCCCCCCCCCTTCCAGTCCGGACCCTTCTCCCCCCCCCCCCCCTTCCAGTCCGGACACTTCTCCCCCCCCCCTCCCTTCCAGTCCGGACTCTTCCCCCCCCCCCTTCCAGTCCGGACTCTTCCCCCCCCCCCCCCCTTCAGTCCGGACTCTTCTCCCCCCCCCCCCCTTCCAGTCCGGACTCTTCTTCCCCCCTCCCCCTTCCAGTCCGGACTCTTTCCCCCCCCCCCTTCCAGTCCGGACTCTTCTCCCCCCCCCCCCCCCCCCTTCCAGTCCGGAACTCTTCCCCCCCCCCCCCCTTCCAGTTCCGGACTCTTCTCCCCCCTTCCCCCCCCCCCCCCTTCCAGTCCGGACTCTTCCCCCCCCCCCCCCCCTTCCAGTCCGGACTCCCCCTTCCCCCCCCCCCTTCCAGTCCGGACTCTTCCCCCCCCCCCCCTTCCAGTCCGACTCTTCCCCCCCCCTTCCAGTCCGGACTCTTCCCCCCCCCCCTTCCAGTCCGGACGCTTTCCCCCCCCTTCCTGTCCGGACAACTCTTCCCCCCCCCTTCCAGTCCGGACGCTTTCCCCCCCCCTTCCAGTCCGGACACTTTCCCCCCCCCCTTCCAGTCCGGACGCTTCTCCCCCCCCCCCCTTCCAGTTCCGGACGCTTTCCCCCAACCCCCCCCCCCCCTTCCAGTCCGGACGCTTCCCCCCCCCCCCCCCCCTTCCAGTCCGGACGCTTTTCCACCCCCTCCCCCCTTCCAGTCCGGACGCTTCCCCCCCCCCCCTTCCAGTCCAGACGCTTTCCCCCCCCTCTTGCAGTCCGGACGCTTTTCCCCCCCCCTTCCAGTCCGGACGCTTTTCCCCCCCTTCCAGTCCGGACGCTTCCCCCCCCCCCCCCTTCCAGTCCGAACGCTTTCCCCCCCTCCCTTCCAGTCCGGACGCTTTTCCCCCCCTTCCAGTCCAGACGCTTCCCCCCCCTCCCCCTTCCAGTCCGGACGCACCCTCCCCCCCCCCCCCTTCCAGTCCGGACGCTTCCCCCCCCCCCCCCTTCCAGTCCGGACGCTTCCCCCCCCCCCCCCTTCCAGACCCGACCTTCCCCTTCCCCCCCCCCCCCTTCCAGTCCGGGACGCTTTCCCCCCCCCCCCCCTTCCAGTCCGGACACTTCCCCCCCCCCCCTTCCAGTCCGAACGCTTTCCCCCCCCCCTCCCTTCCAGTCCGGACGCTTTCCCCCCCCCCCCCTTCCAGTCTGGACACATTCCCCCCCCCCCCTTATAGTCCAGGCCAGCTTTCAGCGCTATCACACTGTGAATGACAATTGCGCGGTCATGCAACACTGTACCCATATGAATTTTGTAGCATTTTTTTGAGACAGATAAAGCTTTATTTTGGTGGTATTTATTCACCACTGGGATTTGTATTTTTTTTTGCTATATAAATGAAAAAGTCCAAAAAGTTTGAAAAAAAAAGTATTTTTCTTATAAAATTTAGCAAATAAATATTTCATCATACATCTTGGCCAAAATTTATGCCGTTTTATCTTTTTAGTTAAAAAAAAAAAAAAAAAAAAAAACCAAAATTAGTCTATAACCAAAAATTATAATTTTTTAAACATTTTTTTTACATTTATATATATTTATTATATATATATATATATATAATTTTTTTTTTTTTTTCTACATACTGTCACCCTAGCAGTGCAATGTCACCATAGTGACACTGTACTACTTGTGGGGGGTGATGAAGAGATTTTTTTTTTTTTTTTTTTTACACTGATTGCTTTTACACCCATAAATGCTGTGTGTGAGCTGTGATTGGTCACACCTTCTCACATGGTACAAGGCTGTTGTGAATAGCCCTGTACCATGTGATCTCTGTGATCATTCGCAGATTTCACACGTAGTAAGCAATGATGTCAGAAGTGACCTCTTGCTTACTACTCTTCATGTGATCACTGATTGGCCAATCAGTGATCACATGATTGGGACCTCACACAGAGGTCCCATCCGACGATCAGTGTTGCACTGTGTCTGGAGGACACAGCGGGCACCGGATCGCGTGGCTGCGCGCTCCCAGGGAGCGTGCACAAGCAGGGGGCGGGGAGGCAGTTTATAAATGGCCACCCGACCCTGCACTGCCACCATCTGGCCGTTTATATACAACGGCCGGAGGGGAGGTGGTTAAACTTAAAAAAACAATTGCTCTCTATGGTGTCAGTTCGCGCGCTCAGGTGTGAACAGGCGCCTTAGAGAACTTTTTTTTTTTTTTTTTTAAGTTTTGAGTTTTTTTTTGGAGCTTCAAGCTAAGAATCGCTCAAGTGTGAACGCAGCCTCAGGGAACAATACACACTATACCTGGCGTACAAAGACAGACTTGTGAAAATCGCACAATGGTTTTTATTTACACTGTACAGGAGGTCACATGACCCCGACACGCGGCTCACACAACAGAGAGATCGGGAGAATCCGGCTAAAAGGGAATACACGTCAAAAAAAAAAAAACGACTCGATGATTGGATCTTGCAGGATACAACCCAAATCAGCCCCGGTGACGGATAGGTCACACGAGCGGGTTGCAGTGACGGGATGACGTCTTCAGGTGGTGCTGCGGGGAGTCGCTCTCTGGGATGAGCAGATAGACGAATTAAAATGAAAAAAAAAAAAAAAAAGATACCTAAGCATACAGCACCCTCTGCTGGGCACATTGCATAATGCAACCTATTGGAACTGGTTCGAGTCAGCAGCAGAGAAGACGACTGAACTCCTTCGCCAGATCCTGTCCTTCTCCTTGCAAAAGCAGAGAGGCTTGTCTCTGACCCCCCCCATCTCAGCAGTCAGCAAAAAGAGGACAGAACTCCTCCTACACATCCTGTGCTTTTCTATGTAGTTGCTGCACCCCATTATTTCCACTTCTGGTCTCAGCATTCAGCAAACGCCAGCCCTCCTCTGGTCCTCCTCCAGACCCTGCACTTTCTGCTTCCCAGCTTCACCCCCCAGTTATGTGTCAAACACAAGACCTATGGGCCGAATCCAGGTCACCAGGGTATTTCACGTGCCCCTCGCACCTCTCCTGCAGTTGTGGCATCCCCCTCATCTCCGACCCCACCTTGTCTCAGCAGTCAGCAGAAGAGAGGAGGGCAGAACTGCTTCACCAGATCCTGTCCTTTTTGAAACTGCAGAGAGGCTTGTTTCTGTCCCACCCCAACTCAGCAGTAAGCATAAGAGAGGAGGACAGAACTTCTCCTACAGATCCTGTCCTCCTTGCAACTGCAGGAGGCGCTTGTTTGCTTCTGTCAGCCCCTCCCCAACCCCAACTCAGCAGAAGTGAGGAGGACAGAACTCCTCCTACAGATCCTGTGCTTCTTTCAGCCGCAGAGAGGCTTGTCTCTGTCCCACCCAACTCAGCAGAAGTGAGGAGGACAGAACTCCTCCTACAGATCCTGTCCTCCTTGCAACTGCAGAGAGGTTTGTCTCTGTCTCACCCCAACTCAGCAGTCAGTAGAAGAGGACAGAACTCCTCCTACAATCCTGTGCTTTTCTGTGCAGTTGCTGCACCCCATCATCTCCACCTCCCCTGGACTCAGCAAATCCAGCCCTGCTCTGGTCCTTCTCCTGACCCTGCACTTTCTGCTTCCCAGCTTTTTCCCGGCAGCACAAGGTAAGGGAGCAGCACTGTAATGTGAGGGAGGGTGGGGGACTCTTGATTTCTGATTTGGGGGGGGGCTTATGACACCTGATGTATGGGGGGGGGGGGTTGGGGTGCTCTGGTCATCTAGTCCTACAGATACAACCCTAATGCGGATGTGGCCTGTAATGAAATAGACGGACACCCCTGGCCTAGGCGTTCTGGGCAGGAGCGGGGGCGGGTACCTGACAAATCTGGGAACCTGTTTCCTGAAAAAAATCTAAACGTGTCCAAATGCAGTAGAGAAGGTGAAATGGGGGGGGGGGGGTGGAGAAAGCAGGACGTTCGGCTTTCTATGAATCAAATTGGATCACAAAGTTCAGATCGGTCGAAAGAAATAAGTAAAGTTTTACTAAAAAAAAAAAAAGGGTTTGGGGCTAAAACATCGGAAGGAACGCGCGTCTCTCTGCACTGGACTTGCCATCAACCAGAACTGAGTGCCGGGAATTGTGGGTAACATCCAGCGGGTGCCTGTCCTGCGGGATCCTGAAAAGTCCGCCTTGTCCCGGATTATCTCAGTCCAAGCTTCTTCTTTTCCTTCTGCTTTTTGCGCACCACGTCAATGTTCCGGTCCTTCCACATGCTCTTCCGCAGTTTGATGGGACGAGATCCGACGTATTTACCTGGAGGGAGGAGAAGAGGCATCAGACAAAACCCAGAATGCTGGTCCCTCCATGTCACCCCCCCCTCCCCCCCCCCCCCCCCGGAATGCTGGTCCCTCCATGTCACCCCCCCCCCCGGAATGCTGGTTCCTCCATGTCACCCCCCCCTCCCCCGGAATGCTGGTCCCTCCATGTCACCCCCCCCCCCGGAATGCTAGTCCCTCCATGTCACACCCCCAGGAATGCTGGTTCCTCCATGTCCCCCCCCTGGTTTCCCCCCCCCCCCCCGGAATGCTAGTCCCTCCATATCACACCCCCAGGAATGCTGGTTCCTCTATGTCCCCCCCCCCCGGAATGCTGGTTCACCATGTTCCCCCCCCCGGAATGCTGGTTCCCACCATGTCACACACCCCCGGAATGCTGGTTTCTCCATGTCACCCCCCCCCCCCCCCCCCCCCGGAATGCTGGTTCCTCCATGGAATGCTGGTTCCTCCATGTCACCCCCCCCGGAATGCTGGTCCTCCATGTCAACCCCCCCCCAGAATGGCTGGTTCCTCCATGGAATGCTGGTTCCTCCATGTCACCCCCTCCGGAATGCTGGTTCCACCATGTCACCCCCCCCCCCCCCCGGAATGCTGGGTCCCTCCATGTCACCCCCCCCCGGAATGCTGGTCCCTCCATGTCACACCCCCCGGAATGCTGGTCCCTCCATGTCACACCCCCGGGAATGCTGGTTCCTCCATGTCACCACCCCCCCCCCCCCCCCCCGGAATGCTGGTTCCTCCCATTTACCCCCCGGAGGATGCTGGTTCCTCCATGTCACACCCCCCAGAATGCTTGTTTCCTCCATGTCACACCCCACCCCCCCGGAATTGCTGGTTCCTCCATGTAACCCCCCCCCCCAGAATGCTGGTTCCGCCATGTCACCCCCCCCCAAAATACTGGTTCCTCCATGTCACACCCCCCGGAATGCAGGTTCCGCCCACAAACCCCCGGGAATGCTGGTTCCGCCATGTCACAAACCCCCCGGAAAGCCGGTTCAAGGGCCATGTCACACCCCACCGGAATGCCGGTTCCGCCATGTCACACCCCCACCGGAATGCCGGTTCCTCCATGTCACACCCCCCGAAATGCCGGTTCCACCATGTCACACCCCCCGGAATGCCGGTTCCTCCATGTCACACCCCCCCCCCCGGAATGCCGGTTCCTCCATGTCACCCCTCCATGCTGGTTCCTCCATGTCACACCCCGGGAAATGCTGGTTCCTCCATGTCACTCACCCCCCCCAGAATACTGGTTCCTCCATGTCACACCCCCGGGAATGCTGGTTCCTCCATGTAACCATCCCCCCCAGAATGCTGGTTCCGCCCATGTCACACCCCCCAAAATACTGGTTCCTCCATGTCACACCCCCGGGAATGCTGGTTCCGCCATGCCATGTCACACACCCCCGGAATGCTGGTTCCTCCATGTCACACACACCAGAATGATGGATGACCGCTGCACTGCAAAAAACGCGCGGGGGGGAAGCGAGAGAAAGAGACACGGGGGGGGGGGGGGAAGAGGAGAGAGAGAGGGGGGAGGGAGGGGGAGGGAGAGGGAGAGAAAGAGGGGAGGGAGGGAGAGAGAGGGGGGAGAGGGAGAGAGAGGGAGGGAGAAGAGAGGGAGGGAGAGAGAGGGAGGGAAGGGAGGGAGGAGCAGAGAGGAGGGAGAGGGAGGGAGAGAGAGAGAGAGAGGGAGGGAGGAGAGGGGAGAGGAGGAGATGAGAGAGAGAGAGAGAGAGAGGAGAGGAGGGAGAGAGAGAGACCTGGGAGGGAGGGAGAGAGAGATCGAGAGAGAGAGAGGGGAGGGAGAGGACGAGAGAGAGAAGGAGGGAGGGATGGGAGAGAAGGAGGGGAGGGAGAGAGAGAAGGAGGGAGGAGAGAGAGAAGGAGGGAGGGAGAGAGAGAGAGAGAAGGAGAGAAGAGGAGAGGGGGGGGGGAGGGGGGAGGGAGAGAGAGAGAGGAGGGGGGGGGGGAGGGGGGGAGAGAGAGGAGAAGGAGGGAGGGAGGGGGAGAGAGAGAGAGGAGAGGGGGAGGGGAGGGGGAGAGAGAGAGAGTGGAGGGGGGTGGGAGAGAGGAGAGCTCCTGGGGGGGGAGGGAGGAGGAGAGAGCGCTTTATTGGTGCGGCTTGGAGGAGAGAGAGAGAGGAGAGATCTCTCTCTCTTTTTGAGAGGAGGAGGGAGGGAGAGCTCTCTTTCTTTGTTGCTCTCTCGCTAACTCTCGCGTCTCGTTAGAGTCGGGGGGATCTATACACACCCCCACTCCATCCCTACTTTGTGGACGGAGTTGGTACTACACGTCATGCAATAGTTGTGGCAGGACGGACCCCTCAATTCTATAACAGAAGGAAGGACACGCGTGTCCCAGAAACCGCCACCTCTGACACGCCCCCCCCCCCCCCCCCCCCCCCCCCCCCCCCCCCCCCTTCCTTACCGTTCATCTCCCTCATAGCCCGGACGTAATCGTTGGGGTCTTTGAAGCTGACGAAGCCGTAGCCCTTGGTTTTGCCCGTCCTCTTGTCTCGGATCACCTTGGCTTTCAGGAAGGACGGGTAGCGGCTGAAGGCCCGCGCCAGGATGTCATCGTTCACCTCGTTCCCCAGGTCTCCGCAGAATATCCGAAAATCGTCTGCAACATGAAAGACACCACAACACTCAGGAGCTGCCAATGAATCTCACACCCAGACTGGACGGGATTCTTAGGAGTCACACGTGATAAAAGAACCCGGTTTGGCTTTGGATCCTTAGTCACCGGTCACAACGCTGCGACGCAATTTGTGTGCAATTTCATTGCGATTTCTGAAGACTTTATTGCGACTTGTGAAGATTTTCAACGATTTCTTGCAATTTGCAGTGAGATCTTCATTCTATTCCATGTATGTGAAATCGCAACAAAACTGCAGAAAAAGTCACGCAGGAACGACTTTAGAAATCGTGCTGCAGTGATCACCTAGGACAGGGGTAGGCAACCTGCGGCTCTCCAGCTGTTGTAGAACTACATTTCCCATGAGGCATTGCAACATTACAAAACTGACAGTTACAGCTATGACTTGCAGAGGCATGATGGAACTTGTAGTCCTGAGGCTCTCAGGTTGCTTACCCCTGGCTAGGCGATCGGAAGTTGTCCTCCCTCCCTGTAGTCTTCTGGGACAGGTCCCACAAGACTACGGGGCCATTCACAAAGCGCAGCACTTCTTGCGCATGCGCAGTGGGCCCCCGGCTGTGAAGCCACCAGCTGTCACAGCCGGGTGCCCACACTGAAGATGCCGGCGCCAGGGAGAGAAGACGGCCAGTGAAACCAGCTATGGTGAGGACCGAGGGACAGGTAAGTGGCTGTATTTTAAAAGTCAGCAGCTACAGTTTTTGTAGCTGCTGACTTTTTTTTTTTTTTAGCAGGAACTCCGCTTTAAAAAGGGAATACCTTGGGGACCCCCCAGGTCATCAGAACTAGTGTCCCCACTGAAAAATCTTCTATTATTACTTTTCTGGGGACAACCAAAAATTTGGGATTTTTTTTTACTCGCACTTTCAGCTCTGGTTCACACTGATGAGGTGCGGTACATCGCATGTGATTCGCACAGGAACCGCACCGGATTTCTGCAAGGTGCAATCTGAGCCGTACATTTTGCATGGCTCAAATCGCGCTAAAATAGCGCAGGACCCTTTTTTTTTGGCTCGCACCAGAATCGGATCGCATGGGTGTTCACACCCATGCGATCCGCTTCTGCACAAAGCACTGCGTTTTGCAAACCGATTTCGGGGTGTTAACGTAAAATACACACCTGCAGCGGTTCGCACGAACGGGGGTGCGATTCTGATGCGGTGCGGAATTCGCTGCAAATTCTGCACCGCATCAGTGTGAACCAGGGAGCCATGTTTCACATGACTGTCATATGCCTTTTTAGTGTTCTTTGTCTCGGCTCCTCCCTTTCCTCTGGTTTAGTTCATGCTGTATAGATAAGCTCCACCCCTTTTCCCAGTAAGGCATTTCAGCTTCAAGCCTCATGTCATGAAGCAGATCACATTATGATCTTTTAACCTATCCGATGTTTATTGTTGTAAGATTCTCTCAGTTTATGGAATAAACTTCACAAGATCTACAAGGTGTCATCTGGATTGAGTCACTGCCTGTGTTATTCAACTAAGATTGGAGTTATCGCTATCTCATCACAACTGTAATGCAGGCCATAGACGGGTCGAAAATCGGTGGTTTAAAAAAAAAAAAAAAAGAAAGAAAGGAAAAGGAAGGAAAGAAAGAAAAAAAAAGAAGGAAGAAGGAAGAAGAAGAAGAAGAAGGAGGAAGAAGGAAGAAGAAGAAGGAGGAAGAAGGAAGAAGAAGAAGAAGAAGAAGGAGGAAGCAGGAAGAAGAAGAAGAAGGAGGAGGAAGAAGGAAGAAGAAGAAGGAAGAAGAAGAAGGAGGAAGAAGGAGGAAGAAGGAGGAAGAAGGAGGAAGAAGAAGAAGAAGAAGAAAGAAGAAGAAGAAGAAGAAGGAAGAAAAAGAAGAAGAAGAAGAAGGAAGGAGGAAGAAGGAAGAAGAAAGAAGAAAGAAGGAAGAAGAAGAAAGAAGGAAGGAAGAAGGAAGAAGGAAGAAGAAGAAGAAGAAGAAGAAGAAGAAGAAGAAAGAGGAAGAAGAAGGAAGAAGGAAGAAGAAGAGGAAGAGGAAGAAGAAGAGGAAGAGCAAGAGGAAGAAGAGGAAGAGAGAAGAAGAGGAAGAGGAAGAAGAGGAAGAAGAGGAAGAAGAGGAAGAAGAGGAAGAAGAGGAAGAAGAGGAAGAAAGAAGAAGAAAGGAAAAAGAAGAAAGGAAAAAGAAGAAAGGAAAAAGAAGAAAGGAAAAAGAAGAAAGGAAAAAGAAGAGGAAGAAAAAGGAGAAGAAAAAGAATTCCAGTCACTATTATATTTTATATGAAAAGTCTTGCGGTTGCAACAATGTATCCAGTTCGGATACAAATGGATACATTGTTGCAACCACAAGACTTTTCATATAAAAAATAATAGCGTACTGGAATTCTTCTTCTTCTTGCAGGTCACGGCTCACGCACAGATTTTTTTATCGATAAACGATTGGTCGATTTGCCCATCAGTGCTGGGAAAATCGGCCGATCGTAAAAATCGCCCGTGAATTTTCCAACATACCTGATAAAAAAAAATGTGCAAAAAGCCCGAAAAACAGCCGACCAATTAACCCAGTAATGGTGCGAAAATCGGCCGATTTTGGACCCGTCTATGGCCGGCATAAGTTACAGAGATCACACTATCAATGCTTAGATTGGACAGACCACAGGGCTCAGTCAGACTCACCGGTGTCCCATTCCAGGAGGCTCTGATCCTCCCAGCTCGTTCCGGCGGCAGTTCGAATGCACCGTTTCATCTTCTCCGGCTTCGACTTCTTTTTGTCCTCCTGCACCGGCTCCAGCACCACCTGAAGGAGAGAGATTGTCGTTACACAAGCTGTGGATCCAATTTCTAAAGCTGAGCCAGGTAAAGGGTCTCACCTCTGGCTGCATCGGCTCAATTTCGGGCATGCTGGGTCCAATCACGGATTCCTCGTAGCTCATGTCCTTGTCGTCGGGTATTATCGGGACTTCTGGTACTTTCTCCTCCTAAGGAAGACACGACCCTGTGAGGCTCTGGCATAAACACCCCCCCCCCCCCTTTTTTTTTTTTTTTTTTTTTTTTTTTTTTTTTTTTTTTTTTTTTTTTTTTTTTTTTTTTTTTTTTTTTTTTTTTTTTTTTTTTTTTGAAAAAAAAAAAAAAAAAAGGAGGGGTGAGCCCTCCAATCCCAAATGTAGCTTTGCTTACCTCTACTTTCCGTACTGGAGGAACCGTATAGACTGTCGGGGCCGCTTGGATGACTGTGGGGTTAATTTTAGGAGATGACTGAACCACGGGGCGGGCAGGAGGGGGCAGAGGGCCCACCGGTGCCGGCTGCAAATAGAAGCAAAAGAAAAAAAAAATTAAATCCTCCCTCCGGCCTTCTCTTCAGTCCAGCACAAGTGTACCGGCTCCTCCCCTTCAGTCTTGCACAGGTGTACCGGCTCCTCCCCTTCAGTCTTGCACAGGTGTACCGGCTCCTCCCCTTCAGTCAAACACAGGTGTACCGGCTCCCCCCCTTCAAACACAGGTGTACCGGCTCCCCCCCTTCAGTCAAACACAGGTGTACCAGCTCCTCCCCTTCAGTCAAACACAGGCGTACCGGCTCCTCCCCTTCAGTCAAACACAGGCGTACCGGCTCCTCCCCTTCAGTCTAGCACAGGTGTACCGTCTCCTGCCCTTCAGTCTAGCACAGGTGTACCGGCTCCTCCCCTTCAGTCTAGCACAGGTGTACCGGCTCCTCCCCTTCAGTCAAACACAAAGGGTGTACCGGCTCCCCCCCTTCAGTCAAACACAGGGGTACCGGCTCCTCCCCTTCAGTCAAACACAGGTGTGTACCGACTCCTCCCCTTCAGTCAAACACAGGTGTACCGGCTCCTCCCTTCAGTCAAACACAGGTGTACCGGCTCCTCCCCTTCAGTCAAACACAGGTGTACCGGCTCCTCCCCTTCAGTCAAGCACAGGTGTGTACCGGCTCCTCCCCTTCAGTCAAGCACAGGTGTACCGGCTCCTCCCCTTCAGTCAAACACAGGGGTACCGGCCCCTCCCCTTCAGTCAAACACAGGTGTACCGACTCCTCCCCTTCAGTCAAACACAGGTGTACCGGCTCCTCCCCTTCAGTCAAACACAGGTGTACCGGCTCCTCCCCTTCAGTCTAGCACAGGTGTACCGGCTCCTCCCCTTCAGTCAAGCACAGGTGTACCGGCTCCTCCCCTTCAGTCAAGCACAGGTGTACCGGCTCCTCCCCTTCAGTCAAGCACAGGTGTACCGGCTCCTCCCCTTCAGTCAAGCACAGGTGTACCGGCTCCTCCCCTTCAGTCTAGCACAGGTGTACCGGCTCCTCCCCTTCAGTCAAGCACAGGTTGTACCGGCTCCTCCCCTTCAGTCTAGCAGTCTAGGGTTTCATTTTTTACACAGAGCCATGGAAATTTTTTTTTTTATCATTTAACCACTTCCTATTCGGCTGCTGTATATAAACGGCCAGACGGGGGCAGCGCAGGGGCGGGTTGCCATTCATAAAAGGCACCCACCATTTTGGATTGTGCGCGCTCCCTGGGAGCACGCGGCACAGCGATCCAGTGCCCTCTGTGAACAGAACACGGATCGCTGTACAGGACATTGGCTGCAAGAATGCAGCCAGAGAGAAGGAGAAATGATTGCTTTTACAGACTTTATGGGCAATCAGTGTAAAAAAAAAAAAAAAAATAAATCTTCATCACCCCCCACAAGTAGTACAGTGTCACCATGGTGACATTGTACTGCTAGGGTGATAGTATGTAAAAAAAAAAAAAAAAAAAATTATAAAAAATGTAAAACATAAATTTTTGGTTATAAACTAATTTGGGTTAGTTTTTTTTTTTTTACTAAAAAGATAACTGAATACATTTTGGCCACGATTTATGAAGAAAGATTTGCAAAATTTTATAAGAAAAACACTTTTTTTTTCAACATTCTTGGACTTTTTCATTTATTAGCAAAAAAAAAAAAAAAATCCCAGCGGTGAATAAATACCACCAAAATAAAGATTTATCTGTCTCAAAAAAATTTCATATGGGTAGAGTGTTGCATAACGCGCCAATTGTCATTCAAAGTGCGACCAGCGCTGATACTCTGAAATTTGGCATGTACTTGGAAAGGGGTGCTGACAGCGCCTGGAACTGGAACGGGGGGGAGGGATTGAAGCCGTCTCCGGACTGGATGAAAGGGGGGGGAAAGCGTCCGGACTGGAAGGGGGGGGGGGGGGGAAAGCGTCCGGACTGGAAAGGGGGCGGGGGCTGGGAAAGCGTCCGGACTGGAAGGGGGGGGGGGGGGGGAAGAGGAAAAGCGTCCGTGACTGGAAAGGGGGGGGGGGGGGGGAAGGGAAAGCGTCCGGACTGGAAGGGGGGGGGGGGGAAAGCGTCAGACTGGAAGGGGGGGGTGGAAGCGTCCAGACTGGAAGGGGGGGGGGAGAAGCGTCCAGACTGGAAGGGGGGGGGGAAGCGTCCAGACTGGGAAGGGGGGGGGGGGAAGGTCCAGACTGGAAGGGGGGGGGAAGCGTCCAGACTGGAAGGGGGGAAACGGGAAGGTCCAGACTGGAAGGGGGGGGGGGAAGCGTTCCAGACTGGAAGGGGGGGGGAAGCGTCCAGACTGGAAGGGGGGGGGGAAGCGTCCAGACTGGAAGGGGGGGGAAGCGTTCCAGATGGAAGGGGGGGAAGCGGTTCCAGATGGAAGGGGGGGGGAAGCGTCCAGAATGGAAGGGGGGGGGGAAGGCGTCCAGACTGGAAGGGGGGGGGAAGACGTCCAGATGGACTGGGGCGGGGAGTTGTGGGAAGCGTCTCCAGACTGACAGGGGGGGGGAAGCCGTCCAGACTGGAAGGCAGGGGGGGAAGCGTCCAGACTGGAAGGGGGGGGGAAGCGTCCAGACTGGAAAAGGGGGGGGGGAAGCGTTCCAGACTGGGAAGGGGTGGGGGAAGCGTCCAGACTGGAAGTGGGGGGGGGACCCCCCCGTTCCGCCCCCCAAGCGTCCAGACTGGAAGCGGGGGGGGGAAGCGTCCAGACTGGAGGGGGGGGGAAGATGGGGGGGGGGGAAGCGTCCAGACTGAAGGGGGGGGGGAAGCGTCCAGACTGGAAGGGGGGGGGAAGCGTCCGGACTGAAGGGGGGGGGAAGCGTCCGGACTGGAAGGGGGGGGGGGAAGCGTGCCGGACTGGAAGGGGGGGGGGGGAAGCGTCACCGGACTGGAACGTCCGGACTGGAAGGGGGGGGGGGTTTAAAGTGTCTGAACTGGAAGGGGGGGGGGGGGGAAGTGGTTGTAAAGATATTTTAAATTGGTAACCACCTCAGAGCTGCGCCCTTCCCTCAGGACGATTAAACATCGACAATTCATAGAAAATGTGGATCGTGGAAAATCACAGCAAATCCGCAGCGACAACACAAGAACGGGTCACATGTCCACATAACAAGGACTCAGTAAACTGACGGAGGGCGTGATTGTGCGGATCGCCATAGGGGGGGGGAACGGCGGGGGATCATCGGAAGGGGGGCCATGATTGCATCGGATGAGACATCAGGGGCTGCGGAGGAGGCATGCCTGGATGTCGAGGACCCACTGCCATGGAAAGATAAGAAAAAAAAAAAAGAAAAAACAATTTATTAAAAAGTGGATAACTAAAGTCTTGTTTTTTTAAAAAACAAAACAAACTAAAAAAACACAAAAAACAACCAAACAAGTGATACTTACCTGCTATGGGGGCTCTACAGCAGGTGTAAGGGTTTTGCATTCTCTTCTTCTCTAATGTGGGTCCCTCGGGTCCCTCGGCGCTCTGGCCTCTCCCTCCTGTTTGGTGCCCCCACCTCAAGCAGAGCTTGCTATGGAGGAAAGAGGGGGCACACAAGCAGGCACAACATCGGAGTTGTCAAGGCAAAGCATGTGCTGCAACCGCCAATCTAGGTCAGTAGAATCAGACCAACGAATGAGGTTTCTGCGCTCGGTCATGTGACGCAGACAGTCAGGATGAATACCTACATGCTCGTTGCTGCTGCAGGACGTGGGGGATGAAGGACGGCCTAACTGGGGGCTCATTGGCCGCTGTAACGCGTGGGGGATTGAAGCTGGGTCCTCATCACGGAGGCCTCGGGGGCGGAATCGCTGCAGTACGAAGAAAAGGAAAAACACCGGAATTACAATTCTACCTTGAAGCAGTATTAAAGAAGCATGTAACCCCAACATTCCACATTCTGGATAGGTTGTCTGCTGAAACTACATCCTTGAATGACGTTCCCCTCCGTGCTCTTTGTGTTCTCTTCTTTTTTGTTAAATCCAACCTGGTGACCCTGCCCATCCCCTCTGATTTCTAGTTAAAAACTGACCACGCTAGGCCAGAAAGGAACACAGCGTGGACTCAGTTCTCTAGCTAAGCTGAGAATTCAGCCTGCCTCTCCTCCAAATGATCAGGACTTGTTCTGACCCCCCTCGAATGCACAGCCTGCTCTCTTCCAATGATCAGACTTGTTCTGACCCCCCACCCCCTCCCCCCACAGCCATGACAACCAATCTATGACCCAAACTTGTTCTGACCAACTTCACCCCCCCTCCCTCCACCCACATACACAGGCCTGCATCTCCTTACAATGATCAGACTCTTGTTCTGACCCCCCCCCCCCTCCACCACATAAACAAGCGCTGCTCTCCTCCAATGATCAGACTTGTTCTGACCCCCCCCCCCCCCCACCCTCAAATGCCAACAGCCTGCTCTCTTCCAAGGATCTGACGTGTGTTCTGACACACCCCCTCCCCCCCATACACAGCCTGGCCTCTCCATGCACAATTGATTCAGACTTGTTATGGACCCCCACACCACATACGCCTTCCACTGGGCAGATCAGATTGTCACTGCTGTTTCTCCTGCACCAGCTCTTTATCGCCACTTGAGAACATACCCAAATGAGGTTGGCACTGTGCTCACTTTTTATAATATATATATTATATATTGCCTTTCATTTATATTATATAGTAAATAAGTATTGTTTTATTAATAATAAGGGGTTCCACATTACTTTTATGCCAGGTTCCACCACTGATGTGGTGTGCAACATTTTCCGCACTCGCATCACAACCTGCACCCCGTTTCATGCGAAACCGCTGCGTGTGTATGTTGAAGGACACCCGAAAATTATCGGGTCTGCCAAAACGCGGTTGGATGCGATATGGCAGAATCGTTATCTCATAGGTGTGAATTACCCGTTGCCATCATACATATTCTATGGTGCGGATACAAAATTAAGGTTCATGGTGTTGTATTTGGTAGCGGGGTGCTCGGTCGCACACAGCACACATATCGCATGTGATCTGCGACAGGGAATGCGGGTGCTGGTTCCGGTGCGAATCGACATGCGAATATATAACCGCACCGTATGTGAACCACGGAGTAAACCTTCACTGCAGAAACGCATTTTCTCCTTGAGTGCAGCAATTGTACAGCTCCTTCATTGCTCTGGCCTTCTTCCAAATCAGGGGGCGTTTTCCCGATCGTGTCAGGTTGACCTTGTGATGCGGGTCTACAATGTTCCATGATATTCCAGCATCAGCCAATAAGGGCATGGCCTTCTTACAATATGGAAACTACATTTCAAAATCTGGCATCAGACTCTTGGAGTCACCTTTAATGATCTGACATGAGTCCTACCTGGTCCATCAAAGGGCAAATGAGGTACCATCGGGGCCCCACAATGGCGGCCGCCGCCGCCGCCTGGCCTCCAGATCTGTGCAAATGAGGGTGGGGGAAAAGGGGCGCTGTTTGTACAGAAGGGTGTGGGCCCGGCCGACACAGCGCCCGTCCCCCCTCCCCCAAAATCACCGGTGTGGGGGTTTTTTGGGTATTGGGGGTAAACAGGAAAAAGCCCGGCATTGGGGGAACACCGGAAAAAAGCCGCACCGCTGGGATGGCCAAAGGAAAAGGGGAGCGGGGACGCATCTCCCGGGGGCAGGCGATGGTGCACCCCGGACTTCCTGTTCAAACTAAAGGAAAAAAACCCAAAAAAGACCCCCCAAAAGTCTTTTTGTACATTGTAATGAAATAGGCCCTACTGAAGTGTTTCTAAAAAACCCCCCGGACCCCCCGCCCCCGGGGCCATATCCCCTCCCCGGGGCCCCCCGGTTGCCATTCCCGCCTCCCCGGAACCCGGGGTTTTGCCTACCCCCCGGTACCTATCCCCCTCCCCCGGGCCCCGTTTCGCTTTTATCCGTTCCCCGGAAACCCCCCCAATTCGCTAAATTTTCCGCCCCCCCCCGGGGACCCCGCATTTAAACCCCCTTCCCCCTCCCCACCCCCCTCCCCCGCATTTCCCCCATAAACGCTTTCCCCCGGGACCCCGCATTCCTAATCCCCCCGGACCCCCCATTCGTTTTTTCCCCGTTTCCCCCCCCCCTTCACCCCCCTTTTCCGCTCTCCCCGCCCCGATTCAATATTCCCCTTTCCCGGCCCCGCACTCCTATACCGCTTTTCCCCCCGGCCCTCTTCCCATTTATCGCTCTCCCCGGCAATTTTTTCCATTCCCCCCCCTGTTTATATCCGCTCTCCCGGCCCCCATTTCCTTATAAAGCTTCCCCCCGCAAATTTTTCCCCCGCTTTCCCCCCGATTCCTTTTTCCCCTTCCCGGACCCCGCATTTCCCATATCCCCCCTTTTCCCGGACCCGATTCCTTAAAACCGCTTCTCCCGGACCCTCTTACGCTTTATCCGCTACTCCCGGAGACAATCGTGACGGAGCTAGTAGGGTCGGCCCCCAGCATTTCGGCTATTATCGCTCTCCCGGGACCCCGCTTCGTCTTTATCGTCTCCCCGGACCCGATGCTATATCGCTCTCGGTCCCCGCATTCGTATATCGCTATCCTCAGGACCCCGCATTCGTATATCGCTCTAACCGGAACCCCTCATTCGCTATATCGCGCCATCTCTTCACGGACCCGCATTCCCTCCTATATCCGCTGCTCACCCGGACCCGCTTTAGCTATATCCGCTCTCCCCGGACCCCGCATTTCACTATATCCGCTATCCCCGGTGCCGCATTACCCTAATCCGCTTTCCCCGGACCGCGATTCCCTATATGCTCCCCCGGACCCCGCATTCCCTTTATCGCTTCCAGACCCTGCATTCACATATATCGTCTTCCGGACCCCGCATTCACTATATACGCTCTCCCGGAACGATTCACTATATCCGCTCTCCCCGCACCCCCCTTCCTTATCCGCTCTCCCCCGGGACCCGCATTCCCTTTCCGTTTCCCCGGCCCCGTTCAACTATATTCGGTTTTTCCCCCCCCCCTCATTTTTCTTATCCCCCCCCTTCATATTTATCCCTCCCGGAAACCCCCTTTCTTTTCCCTCCCCGGACCCCCCCCCCTTTATTTTGGTCCCCCCCACCCCGCATTCCCCCATATCCCCGCTCTCCCAACCCCCCATTCCTTAACCCCCCCCTCCCGCCCCCCCCCTTTTCCCTCCCCCCCCGGCCCTCTTCCCCAAACCCCTCCCCGAAATGTTCTTTTCCCTACGATTTTTTGGGGAGGGGGGGAAGAAAAACGGATAAACGCCTTTTTGCCATCTGGGTTAACCCCTTATTCCCAGTGAATTTAAAATTTCCATTAAAAATTTATGCGTGGGGCCCAATTTTTTAAAACTTTTTTAAAAGTCTTTCGTCCTTTTCTTTCTCCCCCCCCTTTTTTTATATTTATGCAGGTATTTACTACAGAATCGTTTACATATATATTTGTAATTACATCAGTCCCCGCCCTGAGGAGCGTACAAAATCTAATGCGTCCACCTAACTCAATTCATACAATATAGGGACAATGTAGACAGGAGCCAATTCACCTCCCAGATGTCTTCTGGAGTGTAGGAGGAAATCCGGGAGTATACCCGGAGTAAGGAAACCGAACAGGGAGAAACATGCAAATCCAGGCAGGTGGTGTGTGGTTGGTGATTCGACCAACTGAAATAAATCCCCCCACCTTTTTTTTCTTTGAAATACACTGGAAGTTGGCTGTCTTGGGGATATAATGCATCCCCCAAACTTCAGGGATATACCTCTCCCCGTACTAGAATAGATATCTGGGGTGCGACAGGAGCTCCGGTGTACGGCAGATTAAATGCTTCCCTTCATTGCCTCGCTTTGGTGGGTGAAAGGAAGCCAGGTTCGCGCTCTGAAACCCTCCCCTCCCTTCTGTCACGCGGCTAGGCCCGTCCTCCGGGGACTCACAGCGCCATTCCGCCTCCATCTATTTCAACTTTTCTCCTTTTCCTTCTTTCCCCGCCTTCTTTCGCAGTCTCTCGGTCTCTCCCCATAACCCCCCAAACCCTTTCCAAATCTTCTCCCCCCCTGTCTCCCCCGGGCCTTACCACGGGGGGGAAAAGGAAAACCCCTTGGGACCCCGGGACGACCCCCTTTTTTTAAAATAAGGGGAAAAAAATTCCCCGGAATTTCCGGGGGGGGGGGGGGCATTTTGGTTAAGTTTCCTTAATTTTGGGTTTTATTTCTTTCTTTTATCAGGGGCTTTAGTTTTATTATTTTTTAATTATATTATTACTTTTAAGGGGCTTTGTCTTCGACGATTTTTGTATTTTCTTTTTCTCTTCTTTCGCATTTCCGGGGGTTTTTTTTCCCGGTTCCCACGGCTTTTTCCCCTAAATTTTTTAAATATTCCCTTAACTGGGGGGGGACTGAAAAAATATTGGGGGCTCTTAAGGGCTTGCCGTTTGCTACCCCCTTTTGAAGCTTTCCCCCCCCCTTTTTCCCCCACCCCCAAACAATCAAACTTTTAATCTTGATAAAATAAATGTCATCACTGGGTGCCTGTGCTTCTCTAATGCAGTGCAGGCAGATCGTGGCCGATGGGAGGGGTCTATCAGAAAGACTGTATTTGCATTGGATATTCTGAATATGATTTGCATAGCTCCCAGCTGTCCCTGATTTGGAGGGACTGTCCTTTATTTGGAACAAAGTTCCTCCGTCTCTCCTTCCTCCTCATTCGGGGTCCGATCTATAGAGTTGTATACAAAATGCACTTCTTATCTATTAAAAAGTGTTTTCCCATGCCAAACCTTTCATCCAATTTTTGAATTTAAAAAGCCAATATAAAGGAATAGTATTGGTTAAAAAAAAAAAAAAAAAATCACTTGTGGGTTTAACCTATCATTTTTTTTTTATAATTCTCCTTTAAGGGGGGTGTGGCAGGGGGTGTGTCCTACACTTACATTCTTTTGCTACTAGGTGTCCCTCGTTCCCATCTCAGAAAGTTGGGAGAGGTATGGATTTGCATTAATGTCGAAGTAACTCCCTGCTTATATTTTGCCTTCCCTGAATGCTGTGGGTCTCTGAGTTTCTCTATGCAATGCAGGCAGAACGTGGCTGTTTGGAGGGGCTGGCAGGGTGCTGTACATAGCTTCCTAAAAACATTACAGCACCCTGCCTCAGTTCTCCTCTCAAGAGCTTTCAGTTCTGATGCAAGCAGTGGGAGGAGTTATGAAAATATTAAGAATGCCTTGATGGATGGGTGTCGGTCTGGAGGAGTGGACTTTTTTTTCCGGCAGGCTTCCTTTGCATGGAACTGCTCACATGTGATGCTGAGCCTTCATGATTCCAAAGGGGATATAAATCAGGAGGAGTGGGCTTTCCTAGATATCCGGCATTTTCATGGTACCGCCACACAGAGAGGCCCAAAATCCAAGGAGCACCTTCAGGGGTTCTAGGGGCTTGAATGACACCTCTAATTTCCTGACTACCTTTTTTTTTTTTTTAGGCAGGCTTCATTTGCATGGAACTGCTCACATGTGATGCTGAACCTCCATGATTCCAAAGGGGATATAAATCAGGAGGAGTGGGCTTTCCTAGGCATCCGGCATTTCCATGGTACCGCCCACATGTGATGACGAGCCTCCAATATTGAAAAAGCTGAAATCTAATGAATAAAAGGGGCAGGGACAGGTGAATATCAATCAGGAGGAGTGGGCTTTCCTATGCAGGCTTCATTTGCATGGAACTGCTCACATGTGATGCTGAGCCTCCATGATTCCAAAGGGGATATAAATCAGGAGCAGTGGGCTTTCCTAGGCATCCGACATTTGCATGGTACCGCCCACATGTGATGCCGAGCCTCCAATATTGAAAAAGCTGAAATCTAATGAATAAAAGGGGCGGGGACAGGTGAAGATCAATCAGGAGGAGTGTGCTTTCCTAGGTATCTGGTATTTCATGGTACCGCCCACATGTGATGCAGAGCCTCTCTTATTGTAAGAGCTGAAATCTAATGACTAAATGGGGCGGGGCTATGGACAGTCAGGCTGGGGCGGACAGTGTTAGATGATGCTGGGTGTCCTCCAGCCAGGAAATGAGGTGGAGCTCTATCTTTTTGACACGTTTTTGCAAAATGCAGGAAAGAAAATTTAAATTTGTATTTTTTTACCTAAAGTTATTAACTATTAAGATTTCTAACACACAACGTAGACGTACTTAGACTTACACCCTGAAAAGCATTCTGCTGCTCCTCCTGAATATGGCGATACCACATGTGTAACACTTTTTCACAGCCTGGCCACAAAGAGAGGCCCAAAATCCAAGGAGCACCTTCAGGGGACACTGTGAGTGGTGGTGGTGATTAGGGACACTGTGAGTGGTGGCGGTGATTAGGAACACTGAGTAGTGGTGGTGATTAGGGACACTGTGAGAGGTGGTGGTGATTAGGGACACTGTGAGTGGTGGCGGTGATTAGGGACACTGTGAGTGGGGTGGTGATTAGGGACACTGTGAGTGGGTGGTGATTAGGGACACTGTGAGTGGGGTGGTGATTAGGGACACTGTGAGTGGTGGTGATTAGGGACACTGTGAGTGGTGGCAGTGATTAGGGACACTGTGAGTGGTGGTGGTGATTAGGGACACTGTGAGTGGTGGTGATTAGGGACACTGTGAGTGGTGGCAGTGATTAGGGACACTGTGAGTGGTGGTGGTGATTAGGGACACTGTGAGTG